CCTATTTCTATGGCTTGAAAAACCCACACTCTGGTTTGATTGAGAGAGTGTTGCTTTCAAGGAGACATCAACAGCAGGGCATCAAGCTACTGCCTTTCACCGGGAAACCTTGATTTGGGCTCCTGGAAGCTAGAAATCCAGAAAAGCTATCCTTTTATCAGATCCCTGATTCACCCTTGGGTGAATCCCTTCCTGTGCTTGTTTTAGGTACCGTGTTCCACCTGCCAACATTAGTAAACACATGCATGTGTGGAGAGCACAAGCCAGAGACAGGAAACATGGTGAGCTCCTTCCTGCTATTCCACTGGTTTTAAAGGGAAGCAGTGATGCTCCCAGAGGCTGAAAATCAGTTCTGTTGTGGAGAGATGAAACCACTGAGCACCCATGATCATTTTTACCCACCTAAGCACCTTACCTGACAAATGCTATCCCACTTCATCTTAAGTATTGCCTCTCATTACAGAGAATTTAAGGTTAATTTAATGTTTCTTTTCAGAAAGCTATTAAGAAAAACATAGCTTGAGAAGCATTTTTTTGAGTCACTAATTTTCTTCTTCCCTAAGCTAAAAAAAAAAAAAAAAAAAAAAAAAAAGAGCCACTTCCTGAAGATTCAAGATGAGAGAGAGAAGGTAGACAACAAGAAGGAGGAAATGAAGGCATGGGAGCCTTTCAGGAAAATAAAGCCACTTTCTGAAGATTAGGGGAGGAGACAGTGAGAGAGACAGGAAAGAGGAAGGAAGGAAGGCAGGAAGGCAGGAAGGAAGGAAGGAAGGAGGAAAAGAAAGAAAGGAAGGAAGGAGGCAAGGGAGGGAGGGAGGAGAGGAAGAAGTAGTCACAGAGCCAGAGCTGTTCATTTGACTGAATGAAACATCTTCAAGTACAACATGTGGAAGTTCTGTCCTTGTACCTGCTCTAATATCTTCATTTTTGCAAAGTGTTAGAAAGAAGCTGGAGAAGAGGAAGGGGACAAAGAGGAGGAAGAATGCAAAAAGACATTCAAGGAAGTAGTAGCTGTGGATAAGCGAGAAAACTGAGAAGAGGAAAGCAGATAATAAACAATGTCCCCGCTTGACACCAGTACCACCCACACAAAGCTGCAGGTGGCTCTCTGTCCTGGTTCAGATGACAGGAGTCAGTTTACACAGCTTTTGCTTTCTGAAGTTTCTATGAGACACAGCTGCTCAATCTGGCTTCCTGTGCATACCCCTAAGTTTAGCCTGCTGCCCAACACTCTACTGCACTCCCTTAACACTCATGCTCCTTCACTAAGGCTCTCCCAAGAGGACTCAGCCACACCTGTCCAGCACTGCCTAGAACTGGCTGTTTTCCTCTGCGCTGACCTTCTCCAGGGAGGCCTTGGGCATAGCTGATGAACCTAGTTTCCATCAGGTGTTGGGTCGGTTTGGGACCTGGGTTGCTGTCCCATCCTAAAGGCTGAGACTTCTATATTGCATAGGATTCATCTTCCTTCAATACTTTTAACTGCCTCTTAAGCTGAAGCCACATGCATGCAATACTTACAAGGGAACTAGCTAGTTCAGTTCCTTTGGGAAGAGGGCAAGGAAAAAAGAGAAAAAATGTTACCAACCCAGAGACTGGCTAAACTGTTCTGTTCTGGAACAAGTAGAGAATAGAATCTGATTCCCTTCATTTCCCAGGAAACGGACAAGCCAGGTGAACCCATCTTTTGCCCTTGCACATTTCTGTGAAAGACATTCAGACCACAGCTGCCGGTCCACATCCTGGCAACCCTGAATTACAACCAGGTTTTCTCCATGTGGCAGGCTCACACATTCACAAACATCTTGACACTTCACACGTTATCTCTCCCTAAAAGCACACACAACAACCTTGATTCATATCTGTGTCTCATCATCGGCTCTCACCGTGCTTCAGAAAAATGGGAAAGAACATTTTCTACCAGTCCTATCACTATGCTTTGAAAAGTTGAATTATATTTCATGGGCTTCTGTGCATATGTGCTAAAAAAAATATTAACTGATGAAATTCAGACATTTCAAATATGCCACATTAGAAAAAACAGATTTGATTCTGTTTTATTAGTACACCAGGAAGTTCAAAGAATAAAAATGGCTCCTTGTATGACACCAGGAGACATGCTCTACAAGAGCTGAGCTGTTAATTCCACAGTCATACCCAAAGACAAAGAATGACAGGGAAATAAACCTTGGGATGAATTGCATATTTTTGTGGATTCTTGTAGCCTGGACTGAATAATTATTATATAGTTGATTGTGTAGTTCTAATTCAATGTGAGTAAATAGATATGTAAACTGATTATGAAACATGTGATAGGGTTAGTTTTTCCTTCTATGGATGTGACAAATAATCTTTTAACATTTATGCCTTTCCTATCATGAATTTTAAAATATGGAGAAAACAAATATTTTTAATTATATGAAATCTCTTAAATCTATGTTTAAGACAACAGATTTTTAAATTCTGAAGAGAAGGTTGTCTCTTACCAAGTATCTAGTGTGTATGTACACATGGAACATATGTTCAGCTGGATTCTCAAACTAAATACTCAATCATTGAAAATCAGTAACAGAAGCCAATATTCTCTCTCAAAGGCATCTTGCCTGTTTAACAATCAAGGAAGAACACATAGAAAACATTCTTACAGCAGAGTTCCTCCAAGTGGCTGATGTGCTCACATATCATATAGCAACAGTGACAGACACAGCACCATCCTTCTGCGGTTGCAATAAAGTCACTGGTTCTTACTCTGTGAAAATACTATTCACACACATCTGCACTGACACTCCCTTTACTAAGAATTATTTGAGAAAAATAACAAGTTACTTAAGAGCACACAAAAAGTTATTGGCTTATGTAAGACATCACACAGAGCTATTTTTTAGCAGGTTCTAAACCTCAGAAAAATGAACGATCCTTTCACTAAACTGCTATATAATCAAATATAAAAAAAACTTTTCTACAATATTTTGACAGAGAAAAATGTAGACTTTCAAATAAAACAAACACCAATCCTTTGTGAACATGTAGTAAACAATCTATGTGAGGTAGGCAAGATTCATTTACCTTGATGAATAATTTGGAAACAATTTGACTGTTTATCATTACATAAAATTCCGTGAAACTAAGCATCCTTAAGCACTGGGTATGGTAGGTAGGCATGTACCTATCAGTTCATACAGAATTTGAAGCAAGTTAAAGTAATCTGACGTACAAGGATATGCACTAGTGTTTTTAAATAGGTTACTATCATCAGCATCAATACCTTATTAGAGATCAAGGGATGGCTGCAGCTTCTAAAATTTAGAGATTAAGTGAACTCCCTCATGTGAGAGATCAGGTCACTGACCCTATTTCAACATTTCTAGAAATTTTTGAGAAAAAAAAATTTGTAAAATGTTTAAAACCCTTTCTAAAAACAGGTCTTAACTTTAGATAAATAACAATGTTTCGATGAACAAGTAAACCATATTAATCCTTCAAATTCTCATTGACTTAGCTATTTGTTTTTACACAGGTGGGTCACTTCTAGAACTTTTCATGGAGAAGTGATTTAATATTCACTTGCCTACAGCCTTGAAAGAGTTAATACCACCACGCTCACTTCAATCCAGACTCTTATCATATTCACATACAAAATTCACTTCATATTTTTAGTAGTATTTCAAATGTATAACTGAACACTTGACACTGGAAAGTAGCCTTTTTCTGCCCAAAGCCACCAAAATAAGGCATATCCATTTCCTTCTTGCAGGTAAAACAAAAGTAAACAAATTATTCACAACTACCCCCCATAAAAACTTGCTTGGTATGTTCCATATACCACAAAATACAGATTTCTTCATGAAGTGTAACAGAAATACATTTTACCTCACTTACAGTCCAGTCTGAAAAGTAACGTGTTCTTGGCATCAACCAGAAACAAAAGCAGACATCTCAACAGCATAAGAGAGAATTTTAGGATCATGATTTGTGTGTCATAGACTAACATGCAAAACCTTGATTTCTACTCAATGGTTCACGTAGCCTACTCTTTGTTTCTGCAATCACTGCTGTTTATAAGAAAGGAGATATCTGCAAAAAGCCAGTTATCAAAATCATTCACAGCAAACCACTCTTCTTTTTCTCTGTTCTATACCATTTTCACCTATTATGCACCAAACATCAATACTTGGCTCCTACAGCTAAGAGCACTGCTTTGACTTTATACTTATCATTCATGCTCCAACCCAGAACTCAAGATGAACTGAGTCAGTTTGGGCTGACTCAGAAAACCCCAGATAAAATGAAATAAATAATCACACGCTTGAATTAAATGCTGAAACTAATAACAAAAAATTGCTGAGGTTTACATACATGCAGGACAATGGGAAAACAGGAATTTTTCTTCACTAGGCAAATACTTCATGAAATCTAAATACTTTTTGAACACATGATACACCAACAGCCAGCAACATTATTTTTAGAGATTTCACATGGAGAATTCAGCCACATACTCTGTCAATTGACTCATTCTTTACACAGTTTAGTGACACAGCTCCCCCTCCGCCCCACTCTGCTGGGCCCAGCTTTCTGGAATACAAGGCGTCACGTTCTCTTTCTCTGAACCTCCAAACAACCAGATCAGGACATACCCCAATATTAGCATCCTCTCTTTATCAAGACAGCACCTGTGTGCTTTGTCTTCTGCAAGATTCTGAGCCTGATGGGCCTAAGCTTGGGTTCTACGTTCAACCTCCAAGCCACCACCACCCTTTAACACACAGAAACTCAGAATTGCCTTCTCTCCTGTTTCTCAGGTCTGTTCCTGCAAATAACGATGCTGAACAGAGGATAATACCATTTTACAACACCACACAGGAAGACTACACATATGATTATTTCATTTGCTAGATACATCTTAGCCTGCTATACTGAGAGAAGAAAGAAAACGGCACCCTCTGGGACTTGGGTGCCACCTTTTCTAACCACTCAGGCAAGCCACGCCCTGCTTTTCCTACCTTTGCAGCCACTGAGGAGTTGGGCTTCTCCAGCAAGTCCCACAGCTTCTTTCTTTTCTCTGGGCAGCAGGTGTTGTCGAACTCCTCCCCCTCTCGCTCTCGCATGGTCTCCGCCTCTCGCCTCAATTCTTCGTTCATTTGTTCTTTCTTCTGATGGTATCTGGCTTGGCAGCAGGACTCCAGGTAGATCTCATCAATCCCCCAGTAATCAAGCTCCTGGCCAAATGAGAGCGCACACATCTCTTCCATCATGTGCAGTTTCCCTGTCCGGTAGAAATTCAAGATGGACGTGAAGGCCCCTGGATGGCGATCGAAGAAGTACTCGTTGTCGCCCAGGTTGTAGTCGTCGCACACCTCCAGGAGGCTCTCGTGCGTGTTGCAGTCGCGGAGCTTGCCCAGCCGCGTCCTGGGCAGCCGGTCCAGCGTTCTCCACAGGACCTCGTGGTTGAGGCCTCCCACGTTGATCTTCACTCTCCGAGAGCACGTTTTGCTCCTGATAATGTCCACGGGTTCTGGAGGAAGAGACAGGGTCGACCGGGAAGTCTTCCTGTTTAGGCCAGGGGGAGCCTTCTCTGCCATCTTGAACTAGACGAATCCACAGCACCCCGTGCTTAACAAATGAGGTCAGCTGAAGCCGTTTCTCTCTGGGGCAAGCATGTTCACCGACAGCTGGAAGAAAGCAACAGCCGTATGGTTACTGGAAATTTCCCTAGAATATCCTTCTATTCCCTGCCCTCATGCTGCTGTTAGAACCTGGAGGTATCCCGGGATGTCATGTTTTCACAGATAGAAGTCTTTACTGCAGAAGAGGTTGCGTATGCCAAGAATACCCTGTTGACAACTCACATATTTGTCTCCAATCCAGCTCCCTGCTCTGTGTCTAGGGAAACAGTAAAGGGTGGCCCAGCTGTCTGAGCCCCTGCCATCCACGTGAAAAATCCACATAGAATTTTCAGACCCTGATTTTGGCCTTGGACCAGCCCCAACCATTGGAGTCATTTGGTAAGTGAAACAGCAGATGAAAGATTCTTTCTCCTCCCTGACTCTCCCTCCTACTTTCTTTTCTGTGTGTGTCCCTTTCACTCTGTAACTATGTCTTTCAGATAATTTTTTAAAAGCCATAAATGATTGATCAATTCCTTATTTTCCATAAGAAATCTGATCAAAGTAATGAAATGCATAAATAAAGTTAATGGGATCACTTGCCTGAAATGTATCTATGTTTATATGTCATTTGTATGTGGTATATACCCAGTTGGGTGTGTATTCTTTTGCTCTACACCTATTTCCTCCTAATTATTTTGAACACTATTGCTCTAATATTCTTTTGTATTGGTCTATTATTTTGATCTGTAGCAGCAAGCTTCTTCTTGTTTTTCCTCAACATGCTTTTGCAAGAAATCATGTAACTTTAAGCAATTCATCCAAAACACCACTTTTTATGTAAAATGCCATGCTTCATACAGGCATTGACTTATACAAAAGGGAAAAGCATCTAGATTGACGAGGTCCTTATAATTAGAACTCTCCTTGAAGACATACATCAATCATTACAGGCCTCTGGTTTCTCCATCCCATAAGTTAAATTTGCTTCTCGCCTGGAGACCAAGAATCTTCTCAAACGGATACGTCACGTTTACACACAGATGTGGATGGAAGGTATAAGAAGTGTTTCAAGTATGATGAGTAAATAATTGTATTTAAATTGGGATTTTTTTTTAAACTACACAGTTACAGGAATATTTTAAGCCTACATGCACAAACTTTCATTTCAGATAACAAAAAAACGCCCATTTTTCCAAAAATAAAGAAAAATCATTTATGACTGGTTAGTAACCTAAATTCTCTGAACCTCAATTCCCTAATCTACAGAATGAGGATAATACTGCCTACTTCACAGATAGCATTATTGTGATTAAATGAAATAGTTTCTGTAAAGGGTTCAGCACACGGAAATATATCTGAATAGAATAACAATATCCATACCTCTCCATGAAGTTTTATTTCCAACCAACAAAGAAAACTAAGATGAGTTATAACTTTAAAATGTTGTCCTCGGATACACTGTCTTCCCCAGTAGATCATAAGCCTACAAGACCTTGCACTGTGGGCCCCAACTTTTCTCCACCAAGTATTGCACTCACAATCTACATGCACATCAAAACACGTATTTTTGGTGTCACTGATGCTCACATCCAAATTTTATATTCAGGTGACAATAAATCTATATACAGGAGTAAAATTGGAAAAACAGATGGAAATATCAGAGGTGGGGCAAATCCAGTGGTGAATACGAATATGAACATGAATTTCTAGTCCCCATTAAATAATTTTTTGGCAGGTATGCTGACAGAATGATTATTCACATATAAATTATGTGAATCACCCAAATGAATATTAAGCATTTTTAATTAGTATATGAATAAACATAAAATAAATTTACTCTTTTTGCTGCTTTTAAACAGATTATAATGCCAGATGACTTTTGCAGAAAGAGTACTAACTCCAGTGTACTAGGAATATCTTATATTTGTGATCAAGGGAATAGCAAGATTTCCTATCTTATAAAAAACACCATAAAAGCAAATTCTATGTCATAATCACTATAACATCACCAATTGTCTTTTAAAAATTCACACTTAGGATGCACAATGAATTTTTCTCTTGTACTGTGTGTAAAGTGAAAAGATTTCAAAAAAAAACCCTTAAATTTCAAAATAATCTTCTTTACTGATCAAGAACATTCTATTATGAGAAATCCACTGTTGATTACAAAGTCCACAATAAAAGGCAGACTGAAATTCAATGGCCTTTCTTTAAAACAGGGAGATAGAAACTCAGGATGAAAGAACTACTTTTTATTTGATTTTCTTAAGATTTCAAGATGATCTGTTCGATGATTGTTATTGTGGTTAAAATTGTTTTATTCCCCTTGGCAGAATGTTCTGCATGCTACCTGATAGAAAGCACAAGCTCAATAACCTAAGTTTCCGAGCAGCTGAGGAGCTATGAATAGTGTTCAGATAGGTAATCAAGCTTTCAGAATAAGCCTATAATTCAAGTCACCTGCAGCACGTAAGCCTTCATCAACAGTGCCTTGAGACTCAGCATTTTTGTCTGCCTGCTTGACACTCTCCTTCCTCCCTCATCATCTGTAATTTCCCTTCGCACTCTGCCCATTTTTAGGGCCCTATACACCAGCCACCTCTCTTCCATTCCTTTTGCCCTCTTCCTAACCTGTTCCCTAGATCTTTCCACTCAAAATATTTTAAGCAACCACAAAACCAAACTATACATTTTCAAACGTGTACATAGTTCATAGGGTTTTCTATATCCTATCTTAATCTAAAGTCTGCTAAGCTGAAAATACCATGTTCTCTCTGGTAGAAGAGAAAAACATCTAAAGCCATTTGCTCTTTCTGGAAGGTTGCCTAGGATATTAAAAGGTGTTCTGTCTGAAACTCGGGATACCTGGGTCCAGTTGGGCTGATTTCCACATCCCCTGTACCCAACCTTGCTGATTCGATTTGACCTTCTTCATCTACTAAGCAATGATATTTCCATGCCTACATTTTTTTTTCTAAATTTCCAACGACACTTGGTTAAGTTCTCTCCCACTATGGTTCTGTGGTATTTACCACCTCCACCCACCTCCAGTCACCAGCCTTCCTTTAGACAGAAATAAACTTCTACTATCTCAATCAATGAAAACATTTTTTCATGTCTAGTTTCTCAAGAAAAGGTGGTGTTCATATTTCAAGAACCCTTTAATATTTATCATAGCTTGAAACAGACTACATTAAGAATATCATAAAGGTTTCATTAATTTTAATCAGTGTATAGTTGATTTCCTAGGCTTTAGCTTTTCATTTTTAATCTATGTTCTTTTCTGCCATGGTCATTTCATATCTAACAATGAATCTATCATTTTCTTTGGCTTAGGTATTGTCTTACCATTCCCCAGTGTTCATAAAATTTATTTTTTCAATTTTAATAATTAAACTATATATGATATTATATTTTCTCACATGTAGTTTTATAGGTGAAGCTATACAACAATTTTGCCTCCAAAGAAGTGATAATGCAACTGAATTCAATATATAGCATGAAACATAATCATTCAATGCTTAGCTCACATAGATGTTATGCAACTGTGTCAATTCATATACATAACTGATGAATTATAAGCCAAAGATATGTTTAAGCCAAAGGTTAAAATCTCAGAGAAAATTTTCTTTGGACAGGCTGTTGATTCATTTCTCATCTTCAACAACTCAAGGTGAAGCTTGCAACAAATCAGTCCGCCACTGCAAATGTACTAAATATCCCTTCATTAGTCTGTTACAGAAAAAAGCGACTCTTTTAACAATAAACAACAACAAACATTTGAGTTTTGCACAGCTGCACCCTGCTTGTACCAACAGCGTGGAATTATGCTGCCACCCGTTCACCACAAACCCTGACAAAACACGACTTTCTGAAGATGGCATCGTAATTACAGCTCGAGGCTCCAGGAATGGGGGGAGGTGGACTTTCTACTGTAGTCTCAAAAATACTAGCATTATGTCACACACTTGACACTTGCTTAGTACAACCAGGCGAGTGAGTCGCATGTGCAATCCTGTGAAGAGAAAAAGCAAATCTTCTAAAAATCTAAGTGATATTTAACATTTCATGTTGTGTTGTTAGTCCATGCTAAGCAGGCATTTGCAAACAAACAGTCCTGCAGCCTTTCAGTCACTATCACTCCATGCATAGCTCTTACGCATTTTCTTAAAATTTCACATATGGTATTAAGCAGTAAGTTTCTATAGCCACTGATTTATGTTTCAAAGAGCCACTTTGTAGTAGACATCTGGAGAGAAAGGTACCATCCTAAAAAAATTCATCAAATTCATTTTTTAAAACTGAATGCCTGCTGAGATTTAAAATGACCCTCACAAATTTACTAATGAAAATAATAAGTTAAAAATAAATAAAATTAATGCGTATATACAAATACACACAAAGAAAAAATGTTTCAAAAAGTAAGAATCCAGCAACTTTCAGCTAGCCTAAGAAATGTAACAAATCTGGATCACTTTAGAACTTGATCAGAAACATTCATAAATTTTATATTTACTATTTTTAATATATTGACTTCTAGTAATAAATAGAATGCTGTCCTTATCTCCAGAAAGGTGGAAGGTGGCATTAATTTTCTGCAATCACAGGTTGCTAATATCAATATATTCCTCAATTTTAGCGCCACCATTAAATCCTTAATTTAAAAAAAAAAATCTAAGACCTTTATCCTTGATACAACCGAAGCTTTTTTTAGATACACTCAGATGAAATCCTAAAAGCTTTGCTTTCAGTGGTCAAAGGAAACACTGTGTTGCAGTAAGAAGGGGCAAAGATAAGTAAGAGATAGGATATGTAATACGAGCATATGTCAATACCATAGATGTCTCCAAATTTATAAATAAACTCTTTAGATCCATATGATTTCATTTCATCAGAATAGGAAATTAAAGAAGTGGCCTCTCTCCCTATAAATATGTTCACTGTACTTAGAAAATAAAATACCGAATTTCCCT